CCTCCCCAGCCGCCGCATTCCAGGCTGGGGCAGAGGATGAGGTCATCCTGTCCGGTTCCCCTCCAGCCCCCTCCCGCGGCAGCCCGGCGACCCTCCACGGCCCCCCCTCCGCGCGTCCCCAGGGGATGTTTTATGGCTAAGTCCTTCCTGGACATCCCTAGCGGGGCGTTCCAGATTGCTGTCCCTGCTCGGACAGTGCAAGAATACGAAGTCTGAAACCCATTTCTAGATCGGGAAACTGAGGCTCCGGGAGGCACAGAGGCTGACAGGGAGACCACAAGGATACGACACGTGGCTCTGGGACCGGATCCCGTTCCGAATGGAGGGCTGGCCGGGCCCTAATTTGGGGTGGTGGAGCAAAAGACGCCTTCCTTCCCTGTTGCTCCCCAACGTGCTCCTCCTCCTAAGTCTCTCGGAATCAAGAGCCTGGCCCAGCAGCCTGACCGCGGTAGCTGGAAGCTTGCTGGCCTTTTCTGGCCTCAGATTCCGTTTTCCACCTTGAAGGGGCTGGACTTCGTGAGGAAGGGGAAGCCAGTCCCCGGCAGTCAGCCCTAATGCCAGAGCAGGCTTGGGGAAGCCCCTGACCCAGTCGTCAAGGTGGTGCCCTGCCGGACGCCCTCAGGAGTGGCTCTGTGAACTGGAGCAATGGCGTCCAGGATGAGACTGACGCTGTCTCGAGAGGTCGGTGCGGTCCTCGGGTGACCCCAGCGTACAGCTGCCCCCAGCCTGGCCTTCCTCCACCTCCGGAGCAGCCCCTGGCCTGGGCACCTAAACTGTTCCCACAGCAACGCCTGTTGGTCCCTCCCAGTGCACCTCCCCGCCCTCAGCCCCACACCTCATCCTTGTGGTCAGGTCCGGGTGGTTATTGCCCCCCTGGGAGCTCTGACCTTACGTCTGGACCCTGACATCCTTTACAGGGTGAACAGACAGACTCTCGGGACACCGAGGCAGCATGGTGACCACTTTACCAGGTCAGACACTGCAAATGCCAGAGCTGAGCCTCCTGCCCCCAGGCCTGCCCTCCTGTTCTGGGCAGCCAGTGACCTGTCTCTCCCTGGCAGTCTTCACCCCAGCCCTGGCCATCTACTACTGATATTGGCAGAAACCCAGGCAGGTTCCCAGACACCACTTTTTTGCTGTGATCTGGGTGAAATTAAATCAGTTGGTTTCTGAGCCTCGTTTTTCTCATCTGTAAAATGGGGGTTGTGAGCATTAACAGGTGATATTCCTGGTCTGGTGGGTGGAAGGAACCTCATTCCCACACCAGTGCCCTACGCCCTCCTATGCCAGGTGGGACACAGCTGATGGCCCACAATCAAGTGCCAAATGACTGTCATCAAGGGTCCTCACAACGATAGGCGTTGGCTTAGAGGCACTGGGTTTGAACTCTGGGTGCCCCGTTCCTGGATCAAAGCACTGAGTTACCCACATCTTCCACCCTCACTCTGTCCCCTGGGAAGGACCTGCCTGCGATGCTGATCCCATTTGCCACCCAGGAGACGTGGCAAGGTCTCTACTGAGGTGGGCAGAGGCGATGGGAGGTGGGGGTCATCGCGAGATGTAGGGGAACCTGGGCTCCCAGGTCAGAGTAACCTTGGGGTTGGGTGGGGGCAGGAGCCGGTCTTTTCTGGGAGAGGGTGCCGTGTGAGAGTTCAGGGAGTTGGCAGTGAGGTGGGCGGCGCGACGTGGCAGACGAGCACTGTCCCAGACCGTGACATTTTGCATCTACCCACCCCGGCCCCTTCGCCCAGACTACTTAGTCCCTGGAGATTGGGAAGCCTGGTCCCTGCCGCATACCTGCTGCACGACCTTGGACAAGTCTCCTCCCTCTGAACCCCAGCCCTCCCTGTGCAGCGCGCCAGCCCCCCAGCCTTGAGGGCTTGTTGTAGGATCCGATGACGTCATGCTATGGTTGGCCAACTGCGGACGGCTTCATAACTTCAGCAAACATTCCACGAGGACGTCTCCGTGCGGTGCCAGGGAAAGGGGATGATTCAGAAGTCACCCCCAGGGGGAGGAGCTATGGCTGGGGGAGGGTCAGAGGGTGGGAAGGGAAGAGAATGTGGTCAGGAAACAAAGCAAGCTTTGTCCTATGCGGTCTTTGTTTTTTATCTTGTTATTTAACCTATTTTGAATTTTAAATAACATTAGGACAGGACTGAGATTTTTTTATGCTTGGAGGTGGTAGCAGTGGTTTAGGGGGAAGAATAGTTGAGACTTAAGCCTAGGTGTTCTTGTTAAAGATCATTATCAGCTTTTATCTGCTGAGCCTCAGGTCTGTGGAGGTTGGTGACTTGTCCAAGGTCACACTGAGAGGACACCAAGTCGCTAGCCTACCCTCTCCTCTAAGAAGGTGGCAGAGGGTGGCCCCTTTGGCATGACAGTTATCGCAACAATCGGTGATTAAACTGGTGTTGACTTGGCACCGGCCGTGTGCAGAGCTCAGGCTGGGTGCAGGAGGGAGGAGGGGCAGGAAAATCCAGGCCCTGCCCCATCTTCAAAGTGTGCTGCTGAATGGAGACCAGACCGAGGCTCCACAAGCCAGCCTTGGGCTCATGTGAGTCACAGGCCCTGGGTTCAGGTTTCATCTAGCTCTGTAGATGCGACCTTAAATCAAGCAAGGCCCTCTCTGGGCTACTGGAAAAGCAGAGGCCAACCTTAGGGTCCTAGGTGCCCTCTAGGCTGGACTTTTTTTTTTTATTTGGGGGTACCAGGAGTTAAATTCAGGACAGTCACACTGACCTACATCCCCAGCCCTTTTATTTTTAATTTTGAGACAAGGTCTCATTAAGTCACCAAGTTGACCAAGCTGGGCTTCAGCTTTCTTCAGCTTCCCAGAGCACTGGGATCGCAGGCATGTGAGCCACACCTGGGTTGTCCCAGACTTCATACAGTGTGATGCTCTCGAGAAAGAGGTTGCATACCAAAAGATGCTTACAGCAGGCTGGGGCCAGAGAGGATGTGCCACGGTGGGAGACCAGGAAGGAAGACGGTAGACAAGGAATAGCTTGGCACTTGTGCTTTTTCCAAAACTTGCTCCCTGACAGTAAGGCTCCTATATCAGTTTGACAGATGAATGAACCCTCTCCTACGGGCCTTCTCAGAGCCTTGAATCTGTCAGGTGTGCAGGAGGCAGCTGGAAAAAGCAACTTGTGACCCCAGAATCCCTTTTCCAGGAAGCACCTTTAAGGTGCAGGCACCCAGGGCAGCTCCGTGCTGGCTGTTCACGCAGAGCTCACGAGGCCTTGTTGAGGCACCTCCTCCCTCCTGGCTGCCCCGGATGGGATGGAAGAGATTGGAGCCCACAGAGAAGGGAGGTGCCCTGTTCCATGTGCCAACAAGACACAGTGTTGCCTGGGGCTCAAGGGTCCTGAGGTCTGGGCCCTGCTTCACCTAGCCTTGGGCAAGTCACTAGACTTCTGGTGCCTCAGTTTCCCCTTTCTAGTGTAGTGCCTCCTCAGGGGCTTGGGTTAAATCACTTATGCAAGTGAAATATGGGTGCTTTCAAGTGCTTCATCCGAGGCCCTAGGCTTCGTCACGCTGCACTTTACCAGTGCTTTTCCTAAGGTGCAGTTGGAGGGGTGCTCTGTGCCGCACAGGCTGTACCCGCTTACAGGTGAGCACAGCCCTGATCTCTGGCCATCTGTTCCAGAGCCTGCCTACCCTTGAGCTTTCTCTCCACAGGTTCACTCAGCCTGTCCTTCGGGCCCGGCTCCCACTCAGCATTTGGTGGAGACCTCCGTCAGTGTCGCTGGGTCTAACTTTGTTCTCTTCGGCTGTCATGGTTTGGACCCCACATTTCCTCCTCCGCACCAGCCCGCAGTTACATCACATCGCTGTTCTCTCTGTCCTTCCTCCAGGTCTCCACGCCTGGGCAGGAGGCGGCTGCCCACCTCTGAGGCCCATCTCGTGCCTGCTTCTGTGCTTGCTGTCTCGTGGACAGAACATCTGCGGCTGCTTCCCAAGGCCAGGAGCCGGGTCTTGGGGGAACAGCTTAGCACTGGGGACTGCGCCTTAGGAGAGCCACGCTGCAGCCTCCTGCGCCACCCTCTCTCCAGGGGAAGGAGCTGACAGAGGGACCCTGAGCCCAGCCTGCCCCTGCATCCAGCCCCAGGTGGGCATGGACTGGCAGTCCTGAGCAGCCAGAGCGGATGCCCGGCCCCCAGGGGGGCGGAGGAGCCCCCACCATGAGCCTGGGCAAGCTGTCACCCGTGGGCTGGGTGTCCAGCTCGCACGGGAAGAGGCGGCTGACCGCAGACATGATCAGCCCCCCACTTGGGGACTTCCGCCACACCATGCATGTGGGCCGCGGAGGGGATGTCTTCGGGGACACCTCCTTCCTCAGCAACCACGGTGGCAGCTCCAGAGGCAACCACCGCTCACCCCGCAGCTTCCTGGCCAGGAAGCTGCAGCAGGTGCGGAGGGTCGGGGTGCCAGCCAGGAGAATGGCCTCGCCGCCTGCACCCTCGCCGGCTCCTCCTGCCGTCTCGCCCATCATCAAGAATGCAATCTCCCTGCCCCAGCTCAACCAGGCCGCCTATGACAGCCTGGTGGTGGGCAAGCTCAGCTTTGACAGCAGCCCTTCCAGCTCCACGGACGGCCGCTCCACCTACGGTGAGGGACTGGGCTCCCTGCCCATTGTCCAAGGCTGAGGCCCGGCCTTGGCCTTTTCCCTAGGTGTGGTCTCACCCGAGGGTCAGGCCCAAGCCCTAGGCAGTGCATTGGGAGCCAATTTATACCCCCGAAAACGCCGCAAGGCTGAGAGGTTTTGAGTTCCAGCTGCCCCTAGTCCACTGTGTGTCTTGTGTGTCTCAGACAAGCCCTTTCCCTTCTCTAGGCCTGGTGGGGCCAGCGCACCCTCTTTCACCCCCTGCAGTTAAAGCAGTGCCTTACAGTCAGGTTGATAAGGTGCTGAAGTGAAAAGCCTGGGCTCTAGCTTCCAACCCTGGTTCTGCCTGATTCCCACCAAACCCTTTGACCCCTGCAAGATCAAGCTCTCGCCTGTAATGAGTCCCTTTATGTCGTTGCTGAGATCGGGTAAGATCATCCGCATGCCAGACAAGGCCCAGAGTCTGGCACAGAGTAGGTGCTTCAGAGACATAAGCTGTTGCTGTTAGTGGAGTAGAAGTTCCCATACCCTAACCAGTTAGGAAGACCCTTCGCAGGGGACCATGCACATAGGCAGCTGGAACTGCTCAGCTAGGCACTGTGGGCCTCTGCTGCCCCCTGGTGGCTGGAGTCTTCCACTGGGCTTTGCCCCTAGCAGTCTCCTTCCAGGGGCTGGTGAGAACCCAGCCGAGGACTGGCTGATCCACAGTAACCTGGCATGTCTCAGGCCTTGTGGTCTTAACCTGATGACTTCAGAGGGCAAGTGCCTGTCCTTGGAGCCTGAGGTTTCCATGCAGTCATGCCTTGGCTGGCTCCATCCTGGGCCCACAATCAGCCCACTTGCTGTGTGGGTTCCAGGGCCAGGGTCCTGGCAGGAACCGAGGGTTGTGGCCAAGTGTGCAGTTGGCACTGAAATGCAGGAGATTTAGGGCACGGCCTTTCCCATCTCCAACTGAGCCTCACTTTCTTCCTGTACAAAATGGGAGCAAAGATCATGACCGTGGGGATCAGGGGTCATGCAAGGGACTTTAATCTCTGCTTCCCCCATCTTTCCTATAAAGTCCCTTGCATGAGGGGGCAGTGACTGACAGAGGCCACATGGCAGCCAGGGCTGGCCCTGGTAAGGGGCCCCAGCTCTGACCCACACCCCACTTTTCTTCTAGGCCTGGACTCTGGGTTCTGCACCATCTCCCGCCTGCCCCGCCTAGAAAAGGCCAGTGAGCGAGACCGGGACCCTTCCTTCCCCTGTGAGCCTGAGCTGCGCCGCTCTGACTCACTTTTGTCCTTCCGCCTCGACCTTGACCTCGGGCCCTCGCTCCTCAGTGAGCTGCTGGGGGTCATGAGCCTTTCAGAAGTCCCTGCGGCTGAGACCCCAGCCCCGTCTTCAAATCCCCTAACCGCTGCCACAAACCCCTCAGCCCCTCCTGCAAATCCCGAGGACCCCTCTGCAAACCCGCTGGCTCCCACCCCACGGCCGCCTGCTCCTGCCACAAGCCCGCCGGCCCCTGTTGCACAGCCCGCACCCCATGGACGTTTCCCCAATGGGGTAACTGCTGGATTGGGCCCAGGAGTGGATGTGAGGGCCAGCCTGGTGGGAGAGGAAATCCCAGGAGACATGGCCCTAGGCAGGCACCGGGGAGCCAGCCAGGGTGGCACCCAGGGCAGCCGCCACTGCACAGAGGTGGATGCCGGGCAGGAGCCCACAGAGGGCTCCTGGGAGAGCCTGGAGGAAGAGTGGAGGGCGCCCCGGGCAGGCGGCAGGGCCTCCGTGCCCAGCTCGGTGCAGGCTGACACCTTTGAGTTTGCTGACGCTGAGGATGATGAGGTGAAGGTGTGAGGGCTGGGGCTCAGGACCTGCCAGGTCTCCCCAGATTCCTGCTGGGCTCTGCAGAGCAGACATGGAAGGGGATCGGGGGAGCCTGTCCTGGGACCTGGGCCCCACCCATGCCGCCCCCAAGGCTGGAGGGCCGGCCTCACAGTGTGGCCTTTGTGCCTGAGGAAGCTGCCCTAGGCGAGGGGCTGACCACACAGGGCCATTGTCTGCTCTTCCCAGTCAGATGCCTGCCCCAGCTCATGGGACACCGCCCCCCAAGGTCCCTCCCAGGCGTCCTCCCCAGCATTCCCGCTTGTCCCAAAGCCTCACAGGTCAGGTGCGGGAAGAATCCTGCCCTCCTGGGTCCCCAGACCTGCTCTGGGCTTCATTAAAGAAAGCTTTTTTAATAAAAGTTGTCCTGCTAGAAGCTTGGGGACCTGGGACAGCCGCTTAGCCCCCTACTGAGATGCCCTCCCCTCCTGGAGTTTGGAAAGTACTCAGCCCCATCCGGGAGGGAGGCCAGGTGGGTACTGAGTAACCAGGCTGGAATGTCTGCCCGAGATAAGGGCCCAGGTGCAAGCCTTATCTGCAGTTTCTGGGGCAGCCCCTGGTCCAGGAGCCCCACAGTCCCACAGGCCGCTTGACATTTACTCACGATAACGGGGAGCTAGGCAGGAGTGGGTACTTGGGGCCATTTGGGAGCACACAGCCCAGCCTCCCTATCTTGCAGAACTATCCTTGTGCCTCAGTTTCCTCTTTATATCATGAGAATGCCAGGAGCATTAAAATGCATGGAAAGCAATAATAACCACAGTTCTACCACAGAGACCTCCATAAAAGTGTTTACTCTTGACTTCAGGGGAAGAAAGGGGGGCAGGAAGTGCAAGTGAAAGGCTGGGAGAAAGATCCAGGAGCCAAGGGCCTCTGATTCTGGGAGCAGGGGAGCGCAGGAAGGCTCAGGACAGGGAGTCTAGGCTGGGGACTCGGGTTTGAGGAGGTGCTGCCTGCCCGCTCAGTCAACCTTGAAGGAGGAGATGTGGAGGCCCCGCACGCACAGGTAGCTCAGGTGGCTGTGGCCCAGCCTGTTGGGAAAGGTCAGTTCATATCCGTCTGGCAGTGTCACCTTGAATTCGTCAGCCTGAAAGGTCACGGAGAGCTGCAGTGGGGAGAGAGGTGTCAGCGAGGCAGGAGGGGCCCTGGACGTGGGCCAGTGCGGTGCCTGGTGGATTCACGCCCTTGCACACATACCCTCACGGGGCTGCCCTGTGACCTCACCTTGACCTCTGCCCCCTGGCCAAAGCACATGTGATTGTCTCGCTGCTCCTGTCCCCAGTTGCCGCTGTCCCGCGAGTTGCAGACGATGGTGGATTCGTTGAAGCGAGGGTTAAAGTGCAGGGCCAGTTCATCTGCCCCCTGGCCCAGGTTAACAGCAAAGCTGCCAAGAGCAGGTAACAGGTGAGATTCAGGGGCCAGCCCTGAGGAAACAGCCAGGTCAGGGGGCTTCAGCTGACCGCAAACCGGAAGAATCACCAAAGAGATTTTTAATTGAGATCTGTGCTCTAAAACAACCACTCAGACAGACTTGGCTCTGTAGTGGCACATGGCTGCTGATGGAGTTACTGATGGTGACAGTTTCAGAAATTAGGGATACCTGCCCTGGGGGAGAGGATCGATGATCTTAGACACTCAAGACCTCTCAGGTGGTGAGCTCCCTGTCCCTAGAGGTATGCAATCAGGGATTCTGAGCAGGATCACTCCCCTGAGAATAGGACATTGTGGATTATGAGGTTCCTTCACTGAGCGGAAGGGGCCTCTGCCTGGGGCGTCCTCACGTATCTGCAAACTTGAGGGAGCTAAGTAGGAGAGTCATTTTTCTCTTGACTTCTAATCCATGCATCTGTCTACCCACTTCCCAACCCAAGGTGGGCAGAGAGTGGTCCCAAGAAGGGCTGAAAATGTCCGAGCTGAGCTGTGAATTGTGACTCCCGGAAGCAGATCAGGTTCTAATGCAGAGGGGATGGAGGCACTGGGCTTTCAGCAGAGGATGGCACAGGAAGTCACTCTGGTCTCGCTCTATCCCAGAGTTGCGCCGCCCATCCTGACTCAGTCCTCCCAGTTTCCCTGTCCGTCTCACCCGTCCACGTTGTCGGCGATCTTGCCCTTGAGCTTCAGGGTTTTTCCCAACTTCATGTCCATGTTTGTCATCTCAAATTTCACCTGAGCCAACAGAGAAGCGTCCCACTGGAGAGCCCGCGGGAACCCCGTCACACACGTGCCCCGCACCCTCCTGCTGGTGACACCGGGCACGTGAGGGCACCACCGTGCTGCACAGGGAAGAGGGGAGCCCGGGATCCAGGCTTCCCCGAGCCCCTCTGCCCTTTGTGTTTTGCGTAATGCAGGAAACGACCTTCCTGGAGACAAGCGGGGCTCAGCCCATCCCAGGTTAGACTTCCGCCTTAACCTGTCCCTCCCCAGAGCTCACTTTTCCACGTGGAAATTATGCTGGTTTGATAGATTCATTAAAAAACAGTCTCTGGGCGGGGGTTCCACCCTGTGGTAGCGCACCTGCCTGGCTGCCATCTCCAGCACCACAAAGACCACAAAAGCTGCTGGGCGCCACCATGCTACAGATGCTGGCTGCAGAAGCCCTAACCCTGATACCCCCATCTTGAAGAGTCAGTGTGCTTGTGAGACCCCAGCCCCCAGCTGGGCCCGGGTCAAGGCAGATGGAATCACCGTGGTTATGATCTTGCATCACACTTAGCCACCTGCCCCTGCTTTTTTTTTACAGGCCCTGGGTAGCACCTGAGGTCTCAGAGCTGGGCTTGCAGAACCCCTCCCTTACCCAAGGCTGAGAAATCTTTCACATCCATGGCTGGAAGGGGAGGGGTTGAGGTGACTAGGATCAAACAGATGCCAAAGACAGAATCCAAGAGAATGCTTTGGCACTGTGGGGTTTCTGCTGCTTTGCCTGGGTTTAGCTTTGTAGAAGGCATTGTCTGAGAAGCCCTGAACCAGCTCCCACACGGTTGGGATGCTTAGCCACCCACAGTCAAGGGTATGGCCTTGGCGGGTAAGCAGTTCTCTTCCCCCAAGGACAGGCGAGGGTGGCCCACTGGCTCTCACCCTGCCAAGCACTCTGGGAGCAGAGCTTCCTAAAAAACGGTCCTAGCCAGGTGGGGGCACACATCTGTCATCCCAGCACTTGGGAGGCTGAGGCAGGAGGATCGTCATAAATTTAAGGCCAGCCTGGGCTACCTAGTGAATTCGAGGCCAATCTGAACTACGTAGTGAGACCTGTCTCCAAAAATCAAAAAAAATAAATAAATAAAAAATAAAGGGGGTCCTGAAAGAGGCGAATGTCACCCCAGGAGTGTGGGGCTGTAATGGGGCCACAGACGCAGTGACGCCTGAAGCACCCGGGACTGGATAACTCCCTTTCAGCCTGCCCTGTGCACTGGAGGCTGGACAACAGCAGCCCTGGGCTCTGCCCACTAGATGCCAATAGCACTCTTCCAACCAAAACTGGGGGTGGCCGAATGTCCCAGAAGGACAAAATCACCTTTGGGGACAACGGGATCTGGAGGCCGAGGCCTGTCTTCAGATCTGTGCGTGACGCAGCAGCTGCCCCCAGTTTTGGAACTGCACAGACTGGACTGAAATTCTCAGGCAGCCGCAGACTGGCAGACACGGTGTGGCCCCTGGGAGAGGAGGCTCTTGGGAAGGCAGCCACTAACCCTCCAGGCAGGATGAGAGGGCGATCCTGCCCGCTAGGTGGCAGTGCTTACAGACTCCAGCTGCGAGTGTACATGTCGTGTCTCATACCCACCCGTGTGTACAGGCACCACAGGGGCTGGGCCTGGGTCTGGTAAAAGTCACCGTGTTCCTGGCCAGAGGAAAGACAGGGCCAAAAGGGAGGCTGAGGCCTGCGGGGCTGTGCAGCTCTGAAACTGCTGTCCCCACTCAAGAACCGCTGAGGTCCAGGGAGAGACGGAGGCAGAGGAGTCAGGACCGGGCGGTTTACAGACCTGCTTGTAGGCCAGGAGCTGGGGGCCCTGGGGTCAAATCCAGGTCTCCCCCTGGCTGCTTAGGGACCTGAGGTCACCCTTGCCCTTTCTGGGCCTGGTCACCACCTGAGATGAAAGGAGTTTGGATCAAGTGGTCTAGGAAGGAGACAGGTGGGGTTAGGAGAGGAAAAAGGTTCAGGAAGTCTCCGTCCCTCTGTGAGGGACCTCCAGCCACTTTCCTGTCCTGTGTGCCACCTATGCTGGCGTGGATAATGTCACCCCAAAAGTCATTTCCACCTGAGACCTACAGATGCTACCTGTCTGGAAGTCGCAGATGTACTCAAGATGGGGCAGCACTGACTGGAGGTGGGCCCTAAATCCAGCATAGTTGGTGTCTGCATAAGAGGAAGGAAGCCGGGCATGGTGGCCCACTCATGTAATTCCCAAACTCAGGAGGCTGAGGCAGGAGGATCACCACAAGTTCAAGACCAACCTGGGCTACATAGCGAGACCCTGTCTCAAAAACCAAAAATAAATAAACAAATCGAGGGAAGTTTGGACACAGTGGAGAGGGCAAAGCCTGGAGTGAAGAAGCTATAAACAAGGGGACACCAGGGGTTGGCAGTGACTGTGGAAAACTGGAAGAGACCAGAAGCAACCTCCCTTGGAACCTGCAGACAGCCGCAGCCCCGCCCAGCCCACACCTGATTCCAGATTCTTCTAGAACTGGGAGGGAAGGACTGGACCATCTTGTTTTAAACCGCCTGTTTAGTAATGATGTGTCCCTGCAGACTAGGGAGTGAATGCACTATCTAATCAGAGGATGCTTCCGTAAATCAGAGGAAACAGGAGCCCAGGGGGGTAGGACTTGTCCGTAGTAGTCACAAAGCAAGCCATGGCAGGCCCAAGTATGAAATCAAAGAGAGACTTCAAAGAGGACCCATTCAACCCTTGCAATTTGCAGATGGTGACCTTGGGCAACTTCATCTTTGGGTCTGGACTGGGTGTGGTGGATGTGCGCCTGTAATCCTAGCATTCAGGAGGCTGAGGCAGGAGGATCACTGAGTTCAAGGCCAGTGAGTTCAAGGCCAACCTGAATGCGGAATGAGACCCTGTCTCAAAAAACAAACAAACAAAAACTCTAGGCCTCTGTTTCTTTGCTTTTCCTTCTTTTTATTGTTCTGGGATTGAACCCAGGCAGGGTCTTGAGCACACTAAGCATACACTCTACCACTAAGCTACATTTCCAGCTTCTGAGCCTCAAGTTTCTTTATTTTATTTTATTTTTGAGGCAAGGGTCTCACTGTGTAACCTAGATTGGTCTTGAAGTCACTGTGTAGCCCAGACTGGCCTGACTTGCAGCAATTCTCCTGCCTCAGCCTCCTGAGTGCTGGGATCACAGGCATGCACCACCATGCCTGGCTCAGTTGCTTCATCTTTAAAGGGCTCACCAGATACTAGCAGTCATCATTACTGCTGTTGCTGCTGCTGTTACTGCTAGAGAAAACTGAGGCTGGAGCGGCAGGAGTCAGGCCCAAGTTTCCCACGCGCAGTGACAGCACAGGAAGCTCAACGCTGCAGGACTGTAGCAGCCAGGTGTCTGACCTCCTTGATACCCGGGGGGGGGG